AGGCTGAAATAGTAATAAAAAACCTCCTCAAAAATCAAAAGTCCAGGACCAGACAGCTTCACAGGTGAATTCTACCAAACATTCAAAGAAGATTTAATACCTATCCTTATCAAACTCTTCCAAAAAATTAAAGAGAAGGGAACACATCCCAATTCATTTTAAAAAACCAACATCAAACTAAATATCAACATGAGACACAGACAACACACAAAAAAGAAAATTATGAGCCAGTGTCTCTGATGAATATAAACATAAAAATCCTGGAAAAAATAGCAAATGTAATATAACAATACACTAAAAGTATCATACACCATGATCAAGTGGCATTTATTCCAGAAATGCAAAGATTTAATATCTGCAAATCAATCAGCATGATATACCACCTTAACACAAAGCTAAAAATCATATGATCATCTCATAAATGCAGAAAAAGCATTTGAGAAGATTCAACACCCATTCATGGTAAAAACTCAATATAATAGGTACAGAAGGAACATACCTCAACATAATAAAGGCCATATATGACAAACCTACAACTAACAATACTCAATGGTGAAAAACTGAAAACTATCTCTCTAAAATCAGGAACAAGACAAGGATGCCCACCCTTGCCACTCTTATTCAATATATTATTGGAAGTCCTAGCCAGAGAAATTAGGCAAGAAAAAGAAATAAAAAGCATCAAAATGAAAAAGAGGTAAAACTGTCACTATTTGTAGATGACATGATTTTATATATAGAAAACCTTAATGACTCTACCAAAAATGGTTAGAAATAATAAACAAATACAGTAAAGTTGCAGAGGACAAAATCAACATACAAAATCTGCTGCAATTCTATATACTAACAGTAAGCTAGAAGAAAGAGAAATTAGGAAAACAATCTCATTTACAATTGCAGCAAAAAGAATAAAATACTTAGAAATAAATTTAACAGAGGAGGTAAAAAAACCTGTATGATAAAAAACTATAAGACATTATAGTTTTAAGACATTATAACACATTGTTGAAAGAAATTGAATAAACAAATAAATAAAAAATATTCTGTATTCATGGATTGGAAGAATAAAATGTCCATATCACCTACAGCAATCTACAGATTCACTGCAATCCTTATCAAAATCCCAAGGACATTTTTCCAGAGATAGAACAAAAAATTCTAAAATTTATAAGAAACCAAAACAGACTCTGAATAACCAAAACAATCATGAGAAAAAAGAACAAAGCTGGAAGTATCACATGCCCTAACTTCAAACTATATTACAAAGCTAAAGTAATCAAAACAGCATGGTATTTGCAGAAAACCTGAAACATACATAAATCAATGAAACAGAATTGAAAGCCTAGAAATAAACTCACGCATATGTGAACAATTAATTTGCAACAAAGGAGCAAAGAATATACAATGGGAGAAGGAGTCTCTTCAACAAATGGTGTTGGGAAAACCAGATACCCACATGCAAAAAAAAATGTGGTCCACTATCTCATACCATACACAAAATTCAACTCAAAATGGATCAAAAACTTGAATATAAGCCCTGAAACCATTCAACTCCTAGAAGAAAACATAGGCAGTATGTTCTTTGACATCAGTCTTAGCAATATCTTTTTAGATATGTCTCCTAGGCAAGGGAAACAAAAGCAAAAATAAACACATATGAGACTACATCAAACTAAAAAGCTTCTGCACAGGAAAAAAAATCATTAATAAAATGAAAACACAACCTACCAAATGGAAGAAGATATTTGTAAATTACATACCCAATAAGGGGTTACTATCCAAAATATACAAAGAACTTATACAACTCCACCTCAAAAAAAAACAACCCAATTTTTAAAATGAGCAGGGGATCTGAATAGACATTTTCCCAAAGAAGACAGATGGCCAACAGGCACTTGAAAAGATGCTCAACATCACTAAATATCAGGGAAATGCAAATGAAAACCACAATGAGGTATTACTTCACACCTTCACACCTGTCAGAATTGCTACTATCAAAAAGATAACAAATTAAAGTGTTGGTGAGGATGTGGAGAAAAGGAAACCCTCATACATTGTTGGCAGGAGTGTAAGTTGGTATAGGCACTATGGAAAACGGTATGAAGATTCCTCAAAAAATTAATATAACTACACTATATGATCCACCTATCCCACTTCTGGGTATTTACCCAAAGAGCAGGAAAACACTAATTTGAAAAGATATATGCATCCTTATGTTCACAGCAGCATTATTTGCTATAGCCAAGATATGGAAACAACCTAAGTGTTCATCAACAGATGGATGAATAAAGATTCATGGGGTATATACACACAATGGAATATTACTCAGCCATAAACAAGATGAAATCTTGCCATTTGTGACAACACAGACCCTGAGGGTATTACACTAATTGAAACAAGTCAGATAGAGAAAGACAAATACTGTATGATCTCACTTACATGTGGAAAAAAAAGACAAAAAAGGGTCTTTTTTGTAATTCCTTATTTTAAACTCATGTTCAATTAGTTTATTCTGAGCATAGCAAATAAGAAAGCTTCTGCTATGAGTTGAATTGTATCCCCTCAAAATTCATGTTGAAGTCCTAAGTCCCAGTACCTTGGAATGCGATCTTATTCGGATACAGAGTCACTAAGGATGTAATTAGTTAAGACGCGGTCATACTAGAGTAGGGTGGGCCCCTACTCTAATATGACTGACATCCTTATCAAAAAGGGAAATTTGGACACACATTCAGATTGGGGTGATGTTTCCACAGGCCAAGGAATGTCAAAGATTGCCAGCAAGCCACCAGATGCAAGGGGAGAGGCAAAGAACAGATTCTTCCTCACAGCCCTCAAAAGGAACCCACCCTGCTGACACATTGATCTTGGACTTACAGAACTGTGAGACTATAAATTTCTGTTGTTTAAGGCAGTTTGTGGTACTTTGTTACATCAGCCCGAAAAAAGTAATACAGATTTTGGTACCAGGAAGTGGTGTGCTGCTGTAACAAATACATAAAAATGTGGAAGTGGCTTTGTATTTTGGTGTTAAGTGGACGCTGAAAGAGTTTTGAGGTGCATAACAGAAAAATCCTAGATAGCTTTGAAGAGAATGTTGGTAGAAACACAAATTTTGAAGGAGAATCTGTTGAGGGCTTAGAAGAAAAAGGAGAGAGCTGTAGAGAAAGTTTCAGCTCTTGGAGAATACATGCATTGTCATGAACAGAACTAGAAGTATGAATGTAAAAGGTGCTTCTGGTGAGAACTCATACAGAAATAAGGAATGTGTTATTGAAAACTGGATGAAAGATGATCTTTGTTATAAAGTGGCAGAGGATTTGGCTGAACTGTGTTCTGTTGGATGGAAAGTGAAACTTGTATACAATGAACTTGCATATTTAAGGAAGAGATTTCTAGGCAAAGTGATGAAGGCACAGCCTGGTTTCTTCTTGCTGCTTATGGTAAAATATGAAAGGGGAGAGAAAAGTTGAAAAGGGAATTGACTGTTAAGAAAAAAGAACCAGAACTTCAATACTTGAAACATTCTCAGCCTATCCATATTGCAAAAAATAAGAAAGCTTGCTCTGGAGACAACACTAAGGGCATTTCTAAACAACCATCTGCCCAAGAAATTGTGACTTGTGGATCCAATCAGCCATCTCAGTAGGCATGCTTGGACTGAAGGAAACATAGGTGGGAAGAAATGAAGCAATGTTGCTGGACTTCTGGAACTGTATAGTCAGGAAATGAGCTGATAAGATATCCAGCTATGGTCAAGTATTATCCTTCAAGAAAAGGGAAGAATGACCATGAGGATGAGGCTATTTCCTCAGTTCCAGAGAGCAGAGACACCTCCTCAATTCCAGAAGCCAGGACCACCTTCCCAGTTCGAGTCCCAGGCCACCACTCAGTGCCAAGGGGATGGGGAAGCCATCCCAGTGGGCCCAGAGGACACAGTATTCTGCCAGAGAGGATAATTCTGGGGCCTTAAAATCAAATAGAATTCATCCTTGCTATATTTCAGACTTGCCTGTGACCCATGATCCCCCTCTTATTTCCAATTTCTCCCTTTTGAAATGGGCGTACCTATCCTATGTCTGTTCCACAACTGTATTTTGGACAGATAACATGCCTAGCTTCACAGATTCACAGATGGAAAAGAATTCTGCCCCAGGATAAATCACCTTGCAACTCATCCATACATGATTTATATGACATTTAGGACTTAAAGTTGATGTATAGATTAAGACTGGGATTTCAAAATTGTAGAATAGATAAACAAGATTATACTATATAGCACAGGGAAATATACACAAAATGTTATGGTAGCTCACAGAGAAAAAAATGTGACAATGAGTGTGTATATGTCCATGTATGACTGAAAAATTGTGCTGAACACTGGAGTTTGACACAACATTGTAAAATGATTATAAATCAATAAAAATGTTAAAAAAAGATTTTTGGAGATGTTGTGATGGGGTGAATCTATTTTGCATGTGAGACAGACATAGATTTTTAGAGGGCAGACTGTTATGGGTTGTGTTATGTCCCCACTAAATGCCACCATGACTACCAATATGTAACCAATTACATCTTCAATATGACCTTATTTGGAAATATGGTCACTGAAGATGTAATTGGTTAAGATGTGTTCATACTGGAACAGACCAGTAACTCCAGAGTGGGTCCCTAATCCAATATGGCTGGTGTCCTTAAAGAAAAATTTGGACATGTATGCACAGAGAGAGAATCTCATATGAAAATGAAGGCAGAGGTTGACGTGATGTGTACATAAGTCAAGGAATGCCAAAGATTGACAGTAAACCGCAAGAAGCTAGGGGAGGTGCACAGAACAGACTCTCACAGTTCACAGAAGGAACCCACTCTGCCTACATCTGTATCTTAGACTTCGGCAGCCCTAGAAAACTGATACAACTTTTAGTACAATTGTTCATTTTACAGGATAAAAAAAATGTTTAATTAACATTCTGTGTATATAATTAATACAAATGACTTACAGTTTGGCACATGACCCTTGCAGAATTCTTTTCTTCTTGCTAGGGCTACAAATTGCAGTTTGAAAACTTTGAGAACTCACAGGACTATCCTCTTGATTCTGTCTACCATCTCTTTCCTGACTTTGATCATCTCTTTTATTTGCTTGGGATGTTGAGGGTTGGTTAGCACTCTAAAACCAAAAATTTAAAGAAAACATTTGAAACTAATTCACAAAAACTATTTCTCCCTTACAAGACTCTACAATTTTAGTTCACCTATTTTTCATAATCTTGAGTTGTGACAAAACTTTGCAATCATAGCAATACTTTTATAAATTTGATTTACCTTAATCCATCTGCTACAAAGTTATTTTAAAAAGTTAAGATAAACAATAGTTGTTCTTATATTAGTCTAATTGTAAAGTTGGATTAGATGCTTATTTCCATATGAACAGTAATCCTAGAAATAATTTTTAAAAGATAAACTCATGGAAAAAATTAACTTATTTGTCTTGATTTTGTCTAGATTCCAGAAGTGGCCTCTTCTACAGCATTTATCCTACAAGAATCACTGCTACCTCTTATAGAACCTGGGTAAAACTGCCAAGCCTGATACAGAGTTAAAAACCTCCAGTGGAAGTGTTCCTATAGTTCTGGCCTGGACAAAAGGTAGGAAAAGAATATAATCATATATACCACCTGGGACTTTAAAAAGACAATTGTGATAGGCTTATATTACACAGAAGGCCAAAACAAGATACCAAGTTTTGAGGGCTTAGGGAAATATAAGAAGCTGTGATCTTCAAGACTGCTCCAAATAAATGGCATAAAAAGGAAACAAAATATAAATAAAAATGATTTCTTTCCACTTAGGTTTCCATCATTGAGTCAAATACATCTGAGTTCTGAATAAAATGTACAAGATACCAATTTTGATTACAATCACAGTGCTTTCAGAGCTATACTTTTCTCTGCCACCATACCCGTAGTGTTTCAGATGCTGGGGCATTTTCAGTTGCACTCTTACGGGGGACATACTTTATACCAGTAATTATCCCCTGAATTGCAATGCGCTTTTGTTCCCTATACTGCAGGCCTTCAACCTCCTTCCTCACTTCACTTATAGCTGTCAAGAGGGACTCAACTGCAAAAGAGTAATTCCAAGGAAATTGTGTTAAAGAACTGAAATGACAAAAGTAACAATTAGATTTGCGAAGTAATTTTACAACATGAAAATTATAAACTTGCTAAATAACTTAAACATTTGAGACTTTGTATTTATATTTGGCACCCCCTTACGTATTTTTTGTAAAATAGGCACATTTATCAGTTCAATTGTGATACAGTCTTCTAGTCTGGAGTCTTAATTTGAAGCAGAAATTTTGCATGTTGAAACTACAAAGTGTTACCTAGCCACTGCATAGAAACACACATTTTGATATTTTCTATATTCTACATACTATATACAGCATATACTACATACTGCTGAAGTTATGAAGTACAGGAGGATGCCAATATTTAGACAGGTCAGTATTTCAAAGTTTCTCTCTTTTTTTCCAAAACCATGAAATTATTCCATAGCTTTTCAAAAAGAATATACTTATGTTAAACATTCCAACTGTCATATTTTGATTCTACTAAAATAAATTAATGTTAGGCCTCTCATTAGTACTTATTCTGAATCTCATTGATTTGGGTTATCATTTTTATTTAAAGGCAGAGAACTCAATTATGTTATATCCAAAGCACATTCGGCCCTCCATATCCACAGGTTTTGCAAACCCATGGATACAAAGGGCCAACGATGGTATTCTCTCTACTGAGCCATTTTATATAAGGGACTTGAGTGTCTCCAGATTTTGGTATCTGTGGGGGCTGCTGGAACCAATGCCCTGCAGATACCAAGGGATTGTCTATATATCATTCCACAAGAGTAGCATAATACAGTTGCCAGTATCTTGATAGCAAGCTGTCCAGTGACTTCTTTGATATCTTTGGTCTAAATAATGTCACAGGAGTTGGGATCTACCAACTCAGATTTGATCCCAATGACCTTAAATCAAGGTATTACCTCTACCTAGTCATAGTCTATGTTCCTTTTTTTCTTGTAGTCTAATAAAATTAAAACATTAACCTTTACAAGGCATGACATATGTTTTTAGGTCTTGATAAAGATCAAATTATCAGTGAGTGTTGGTACACTTTGTCTCACTCCCATAAAAGAATAAAGATAACTAATAGATATGGCATAAACCATATATATATGTGTATATATATATATAGAGAGAGAGAGAGCGCATATAAATGTATCATAAAGGACGAGCGATTACATCAGTACCTTTAATGGAACTACTGTACTTCGAAAATGTCTCTGGCACTGGTGGATAGGGGTAATATCCACCAATAACAGTATTCTTCAGTTCTCCAGAATCAGTCTTTGCTTTAACCCACTGATTGAAGTTTTTTACCTTGGGATCGTTGATATATGGCTGGCCTCTATGACCTTTTTGCAGGAAGGGTAAAGTGCAAAAATATGAGAAAAAAACAAAAACAAAAAACAACTCACTGTAATAAACCACATGGACTATTTTTGGTATATAAACAGTTTAATATTATATCAGTCTTATGTCGCCAAGAAAAGAAGTTAACTATGCAGCAGATAATCATACTGAATATGAATACAAAAATTATCAAAGACAGTTAACAAATCCTAGGTCAAAAAGGAAATTAGACATATGTTAGAGTTTACATGGACTAAATTGTAGCTGTCAACAGGATACTGAAAAGCCAGAAGGAAAAGAAAACTAATAATCTGGATTTTTCTAACTATCCAAATGGTTAGCATCTTTTTAAAAAACTGATTTTTATGTACTAACCTGAAGGTATGGCAGAATGTATGAACTAAACTGCCTATGAATATAGATCAGCATTTAAACTCATGTTTTTAAAACATACTTCAAAGTGTCATTTACATCTGATATTATTAGTATATATTACAACTGATACTCATATTTATTTATTTATTTATTGAAATATAATCAGTTTACAATGTTGTGTCAATTTCTGGTATACAGCACAATACTTCAGTAGTACAGGAACATACATATATTCACTTTTATATTCTTTTTCATCATAAGTTACTATAAGATATTGAATATGGTTCCCTGTGCTATACAGTATAAACTTGTTGTTTATATATTTTATACATATTAGTATCTGCAAATCTCAAACTTCCAATTTATCCCTTCCCACCTCCTTCCTCCCCTGGTAACCATAAGTTTGTTTTCTATGTCTGTGGGTCTGTTTCTGTTTTGTAAATGAGTTCATCTTTTTTTTAGATTCCACATATAAATGATGTCATGTGGTATTTTTCTTTCTCTTTCTGGCTTACTTCACTTAGAATGATGATCTCCAGGTTCATCTATGTTGCTACAAATGGCATTATTTTATTCTTTTTTATGGCTGAGTAGTATTCCATTGTGTAAATATACCACAGCTTCTTTATCCAGTCGTCATCTGTCAATGGACATTTAGGTTGTTTCCATGACTTGGATATTGTAAATAGTGCTGCTATGCACTTTAGGGTGCATGTGTCTTTTTGAATTAAGGTTCGCTCTGGATATGATGTTCATATTATAAAATGAAGTATGGACAAAGATGTGTGTTACATCCTTCCTAGGACTCTTCTTTTGACAAATTTCCTAGTAACCAAAATGGCAGTATTCTAGTAAATACACCATTCCACACTATTCCCTCACTCATCTGAAAACTTTTATCTTTATTATTTTGCCCTGTTATCAGAGGGAACAGAGAAAAATAATATACTTGTAGATGAGTAGTGAGACTCTTCTTGCTTTATAAGTAAAATGTGAGAGAGTGGCCAAGATGGCAGAGTAGAAGGACACTCTTAGCTCACCCTCTCCCATGAATACACCAAGAGTGACATCCATGGACACACCCATCCACTCAGAACACCTGCTGAACTTTGACAGAACATTGCCTTCTTCAAAAGACAAAATTCGCCACAAATCTGATAAACAAGTTCATACCATATAGCACAGGGAATGATATTCAATATCTTGTAGTAGCTTATGGTGAAAAAGAATATGAAAACAAATATATGTATATTCATGTGTGACTGAAGCATTGTGCTGTACACCAGAAACTGACACAACATTGTAAACTGACTATACTTCACTAAAGAAAAGGTAAAATGTGAGATCCACGGACCAAAATTTGATGTATATTTTTGTTTTATTTAGTATTTAAAAACTATTGTTGATTGAATCCACATTGTGATACAAGGTCTGCCATTCTTCAATCTGTCAAGCAATGTATAATTATCCACCTTACATCAAGCAAGAATTAAAGTTAACCAAAGGATATAAATAAAATTCCTCAGTGAGTCACAAAATCGTTGCTTTAATTGTAATAATCTGGAAGCAATATATTTCATAGGCTAAACAGTCTTTGTTAAACCATTCTCAAATTGATAAAGGAGTTCAAAATAAAGCTATCTTGTAGTTGAATGCTATAATAGAAAAGTTAACATAATGAAGAGAAGATACATTCTATTTCCAATAAATTATATACAAAGAAATTGCTCACCAGTAATAAACACTCGGCTCTCATTTGTAGTGGTGAGGTAAAGCAGTTTAGGTACTTGAGCGTCATTTCGGACAACTTTCAACTGTGTACACACAAAGTATGTCACTGTAGAAAATGAAAACACTTATGAAATTATTTCTGCATTTCAAAGACGAAATAACCAAGATCAGAATCTAACACAGTGCTTTTCAAACTTTAATGAACAGAGGAATCGCCTGCGACAATTGTTAAAATGCAAATTCAGATGCACTAGTTTTAGTGTGGGCTTGAGATTCTCCGTTTCTAATGAGCTCCTAGGTGATACCAGTGCTGCCATCTTTTGACCACACCTGGAGTAACAAGGATCCAACACTTAACCTTTTCCGTTAGATAAAGAATCTAATGCTTACTTGTCCTTTAAGAAAGTAAAACAGCTGCACCTAACTGAAGTCACTGCTTGCTGCACAGTTGAAGACTGCAAGAGTCTTTCTAACTGGGCACACAGCTTGGTGTGAACAGCTATTTCCTACAGAGAAAAAAAGCTGTTTCTCCAAGATGTTTTCACTGATAAACCCATTTAACATGGATCCCTGAATTACTCTGATTCCTCCCACCAGACAGGGCTACAGAGTATTAATTTGAATTTGCTTATGCAAGTGTTTTACTTGTGTTAATCTTAATTAGACTTTAAGCCTCAATGACAGGGCTTATATCACCTATTCTTTTCTGTTTCTCTTGCTAACCAACTGGATAGACTAAAAAGCATCCCTGAAAATGAGATCATAATGTCTTCAGATTTCAACTACTTTTTCAAAAGCTATCAAATGTTTTTGACTGTCAGGTTACTTAGGTAAAGTTTGCTTATGCAACAATATTTTAAAATTTTAACTCATTGCACACCAAAACAGCTATGGTCTTAAAAATTAGGAAATGAAGAAATAAATATAAATTCTTGTAATCTCACAATAACAGTAAGTTCTCATTTGAGAATAAATATTTCCCTAGAGCATGATAATATCTATAAATTCATTTCCTATCTCTCACATTTACTAGTTCTTTATTTTGTAGCAATGAAAATGAAGAAAATCTATTCAAATAAGAATAATTCTCTAGATTTACATCACTTTTATTTTAAAAACTGTACAGACATGAGTATTCATGGTTAAAGATGTTGGTATAGGAATATTAAAGAAACCTCTAATTCTAATTTCATGGTTGTTAAAAATCAGACATTTGGGCCTTCTAGCTGTTTCACATCCAGGAAATTATTTAACCCCTTTGGAAGGCAGCTATGCTCACCACTATACCACCAACGCACACTACTTAACCCCTTTGTACCTGTTTTCTCACCTGTAAATTTGTAAAAACATCAACTCTTTAAAAGGTAACTCGGAGTACAAAATGAGATAACATCTATGAGTACCTGGTATATAGTAAACACTCAATAGTATTTCCCCTGAGTCCTTCACTTTTCTTAATCAAAAGTAAAAAAGTTGCCTTACTAACAAAGGATTCTGGTATTATCCCAGAAGACCCTTGGTCATGTTCCTCTTCAAAGGCCTAAAGCCCCCTTAATACTCATCATTTATTTAATGATTTTTTTCCTTCACACTTGGTCAAAAGATGAAAATAAATTGTGATTGTTGTCAACTATTGTACTAGAGTAAATCTTACCAAGGTCCATACAAACCTTTCTTAGAAATATATAATTCACATTATCACAAGAAATAGAACATGCATGCTTGGCAACATTTCTATGAAAAATAATTATTCAAAACTTGCGTCAGTTTGTTATTTAAAGTGGCTACAAAGAGAGAGGGACTTGGCTATAAAACTCATCTAAATTGTCAGCAGGAGTCATCACTACCAATTATCTATACCCTGAGAGAAGTTACACAAAGAAGTTACATGAAGCCATGCCTTGGCTTTGGTCAAAACTCTCTTTCTATCTTCTCCCCCCGTAATAGTTGGGATGATGTTCAGTTCCATTCATATATATTTTAAAAGCTTAATCTCACAAGCAGAGGGTGGACCCTAACAAAGTAATATCTGAATAGTGTGTAATACTATCTTGCAACAGAGAATAAAGGGGTAGCAGAATCGCCCTGTGTATGGTTTCTAGGTCTCTTGACATTCTACAATTTCTACCTTGTTGATGGTTTTAAAAAATTACACGTAGTCAAGATTGGGAATTTTCCCAATGTTGGCAAGCATTTAAAATCAGAATTTCATTCATATAATCAATTGCAAAATAGTAAAATCCCATTCATAAAGTAGCTTTATGTTACAAATCCAAAAAAAAGGAAAAAAATCACTGAAGTTGTTAAAAAGTATTAAATGTACTTTTCCTATCATAATAGATCTAAAGACTAACTTGTATAAAATATATGACATACCTAAAACGTCTTCAAATAAGTAAAAATAGTGGGAAAAATACCTATATATATAAATGAATGCAAGGGGGAAAGTTAACACTAAAGTAAGTAAAATATTGACCAGCTAGTATAATACCACCAACCTAATATTAATTTAATACTCAAATGGCCTATTTACCACTGTCATTATTTAATTATACAGTCTTCTAATCCTCTAACACTTAATTTTACATTAGTAAAGTCTTCATTGTCTTTAATGGGGTCTACTAAGTCAATTTCCAAATGACTACGAAGGGAATTGACTGCCTATGTTTTAGTTTCACTGAATCTTAAGCTTTTATGTCTGAAATCCTAACAACAGGAAATGATAAGAGCACCTGTTTTCTGAAAAGCTAGTTTCAATTCTAAATTAATTCTGAATAGAAAACCAGAAGGTGTTAATATCTGTAATATCGATTATAATATTAATATAGAAAAATTTAAACTTGCTGTCAGACTGCTTGAATTTGCTAACTCAATATCATGCCATTCTGTAAGTCAGTTTACAGAAGTCTACTAGGTACAGTCAGTCTATCATTTTTTTTAAGTTAATGCCCCACTTCAAAAACTAAAATGATAAAAATATTGAAACTGAGTACTTGGGTAAATATTTTCAAAGATTTCTGGTTGAGACGTAGAAAACAGTTCCACTATAAATGGTTGTTCTGAAGTCCCATCAGCGATGTGAATCCAGCGATATGACCAAAAATCTTCACGGCTTTCTATATGGATAGAATATTAGAATAAATGAAGGTAGCTGATTATGCACATATGAACACAGAATTATTCACTGAAATACTTTTTATGACTTTCAATTTCAAAAGCTTACCCTTCTTTTTTGACCGCTGGACTCTTCCTACAAAAACTAAAACGCCAACAACATCACAGATATGATTTTCTGGCATATCATCCAGCTCTGATCTAAAACAGCAAAATTGTTAAATAGATATTGTATTTTTAGGTAGTGAAAAAGCATTCTACAATAATGACTGTGAACATTTGCATTTATATAACTGGTACAGCATAATTTGGGGTAGGTTTTGAGCAAATTATAATATATCGTTTCAGTGACTAACACTGAAAATTATTATTTGAGATATTTTACAAGAAGCTATTTTACCTTGTGATAAAGCGGTAATTTAATTTTGGCAATCTCCATTCTGGTTTCACCTGCTTTTCTGGAATGATCATTATATTAGTTGGAGGATCTCGAAGGTTCAGGCAGATTTCTGAAAAACAAATGTGTTACTTTAATATGATATTTAATACATACAAAAGAATATACACATGTATAAAGCACACAGCAGAAAACAGACTGAACACTATCCCAAGGTCAAACAGATACTTTCTATAAGTTCTTCTAAAAGCTTTGCCATTCACATATAAGTATTTGATATATCTGGAATTGATTTTTATATAGTATGAGATAGGGATATAGTGTCATTTTTTTCCTTATAGATGAAATTGTCTCAATACTATTTACTGAATGGTTCTTCCTTCCTTGATGATCTGCACAGCACATCTGTCACATATCAAAATTTTATGTCTAGGGCTGTTTTTTTTTAACTTTGTATTGTGACTTGCTGGTCAGTTTGTCTGTATCTATACCAATGCTACATGGTTATACTTTATAATAATCCTTGATATTTGTAGGACAAGTCCTCACTCCCTCTTCAGCCCCTTATTCTTTTTCTTCAGAAGTGTCTTAACTATTCTTGATAATTATATGCCTCCTTATAAACTTTAGAATCTGTCAGTTCCAGGAAAATAAATCTGATGAACAGCACTGAATCTACAGATCATTTTGGGGGGAGCTGACATACTTATGAAATTGAGACCAATCTCCTACCTGGGAACATGGGATATTTCTCCATTTATTTAGGGATTCTTCAATGTCTTTCAAAAATTATTATAATCCTCTCCAAACAGGTCTTACATATCATCTGTTAAATTTATTTCTAGATACCTTGTAATTATTTTTGACAAGGTAATTAAAGTTCTAAAAATTATAATTTCTAACTCTGTTATTTATTAAATCAATTTTTTATATATTAATCTTATAGCTAGCTTTGCCAGTGTCTTACTATCTTTAATACTGTGTGTTATTCTGGATTTTCTTTATAGAAGATCTAATTTGTGAGTAGTGGCAGTTTTGTGTTTTTCTTTAAAATCCTTTGGTGGGTGGATAACATGGCAGAGTAGGAAGATCTTGAACTAACTTCTCCCACAGACACACTAAAATTACAACTACTTACAGAGCAACTAACTAAGAGAAACACATGAAGACTAGCAGAAAAGATTTTCCACAAATAAAGACATAAAGAAGGAACCACAATGAGACAAGTAGGAGGGGCGGAGATGTGGTATAGTCAGCACCCACAACCCCAGGTTGGTGACCCACAAACAGGAGGGCTATCATAACCACAGAGGTCCTCCCCAAAGAGTGAGGGGTCTGAGTCCCACACTGGGCATCCCAGCCCAGAGGTCTTGTACTGGGAAAATGAGACCCCCCAGAAAATCTGGTTTTGAAAATCAGCAGGGCTTATGTTCAGAAGAGCCAGAGGGCTTTAGAAAACATAGTCCACTCTTAAAGGGCACATGCAAATCTCACATACCCCTAGTTCCAGCACAGAGGCAGTAGTTTTATTTGTTTGTTTGTTTGTTTGTTTGTTTATAGAGGCAGTAGTTTTAGAGGAAACTGGCTCGGGCCTACTTTCTAATCTTGGAGAACCTCCTAGAGAAGCAGGAGGCAACTGGGACTCCCCATGGGGACATAGGCACTGGCGGCAGCCATTCTGGGGAGCTCCTTCTAACACAAGGACACTGGTGCCAATCTGGAGTCCTCCCGCTAGTCTATTAGCTTCAGGGGCTTCCTCACCAGCTGGTTGGCACCAGTCCTGGAAACCTCCCAGACCAAGCAGCCAGCCCTGTGGTGACCTAGCCCCACCCACCAGTAGGCTGGCATCAGCTGTGCTTCCTCTCTCCCACAGCCCCCCTACCCACCTGCCCCAGGGGCCAGCCCCACCTACCAGTGGCCAGCACCAGTCTAGGACTACCTGGGCCCTTCAGCTAGCTGCCCTGGGCCCCGTCCCACTCACCAGCAGCCAGCAGCCTCCACACAAGACAGCACTGGCAGCTAACCAGGCAGGGGCCAGCACTGCCTACCACACACTCACAGTAGTCAGTCACAACAGGAGGGCCCACACTGCTCACACAGGGGGCAGCCCGAGAGCATATAGCCCTGGTGACTCATGCTTACATGGTCAATTAATCCACGACAAAGGAGGCAAGAAAATACAATAGGGAAAAACAGCCTCTTCAGTAAATGGTGTTGGGAAAATGGACAGCTATATGCAAAAGAATCACATTGGACTACTTTCTCACACCATATACAAAAATGAACTCAAAATGGATTGAACACTTAAATGTAAGGCCTGAAACTGAAAAACTTCTAGAAGAAAACATAGGCAATACACTCTTTGACATCAGTCTTAGCAATATATTTTTGGATCTGTCTCCTCAGGCAAGGGAAACAAAAAATAAACGGGACTACAACAAAAAACCTAAAAGCTTTCACACAGCAAAAGAAACTATTAACAAAATGAAAACACAGCCTACTGAATGGTTGAAGATATTCACAAATGATATATATCTGATAAGGGGTTAATATCCAAAGTATACAAAGAACTCATACAAATATTAAAAAGCAAACAACCAAATTTAAAAATGGGCAGAGGAACTGAATAGACACTTTCCCAAAGAAGACATACAGATGACCAAGAGGCACATGAAAAGATGCTCAACATCACTAATCATTAGGGAAATGCCAACCAAAACCACAATGAGATACCACCTCATGCCTTTCAGAATGGCTGTCACCAAAAAGACAACAAATAACAAGTGTTGACAAGGATGTGGAGGAAAGGGAACCCTTGTGCAATATTGGTAAGAATGTAAATTTGTGCAACCATTATGCAAAACAGTATGGAGGACTCTCAGAAAATCAAAAACAGAACTGTCATATGATATATCCAGCAATTTACTTCTACGTATTTACCTGAAGAAAACAAAAACACTAATTTGAAAAGATACATGCACACGAATGTTCATTGCAGCATTATTTACAATAGCCAAGATATGGAAGCAACCTAAGTATCTGTCAATAGATGAATAGACAAGGAGATGTGGTGTATATTTATAATGGAATATAACTCGGACATAAAAAATGAAATTTTGGTATTTGTAACAACATGGATGGATCTAGAGGGCATTATATTAAGTGAAATAAATCAGACAGAGAAAGACAAATACCATATGATCTCACTTACATGTGGAATCTAAAACACAAAGCAATCAAACGAAATGAAATAGAGATACAGAGAACAAAAACACTAGTTGCTAGGGGGTTGGGAGCAAAATAGGTGATGGGGGTTAAGAGGTACAAACCTCCAGTTACAAAATAAATAAGCCAAGGGGATGGCTTATATACCATAAGGAATATGGTCAATATTTTAATAACTCTGTATGGGGACAGATGGTTACTAGACTTATCATGGTGATAAGTTATGCAAATGTCAAATCACAAATCACTGAAAGTAACATAATATCGCATGTCAACTATATTTCAATTATAAAATTCTTACGCTTTTAATGCATTTTGTCTTCTCACACTGGCTAGGACAGCCAGTACAACATTAAATAGAAGTAGTAGTGGGAGGCATGCATGTTCCCCATTTTAAAAAGGAATATTTCTAAATTTTCCCTGTTAAGAGCTGTGCTTGTTGTTTTGTTTTGATTTTGTAAATATCCTTCATCAGTTATGGAAGTCTCCTTCTCTTGCTATTTTCCTTTTTAAATGTATGAATGGGTGTAAAATTTTAGTAAGCACCTTTTGTGCCTCTATTAGGAGGACAATTATCTTCTTTAAAGTCTGTTAATGTGGTAAGTGACACTTCGAGATTTTCATATGTAAGACCAACTTTGCATTGCTGGAGAACAATGCAACTTAGTCACAGTGTGTGATCATTTTTTACGTATAACTGTATTCAGTTTGCTAATACTCTATTTTGAATATCTGTACCTATGTTCAAGGCTGAAGTTAGCCTTTAATTTTCCTCTTTCATACTATTCTTTTTTGGTTTTGATTATCGAGGTTATATTGGTACCAAAGAATGAGTTAGAGAGAGTATGCCCTCTTATTCAGAGAATCTCTGGAATAGTTTTGGAATGATATATTCCTTGAACGTTGGTAGAACTTGCCTGTAAAATGATGTGTACCTGGTATTTTCTTTGTGGGAAGATTTTAAACCTCTGATTCAATTTCTTTAAATTATAGAACAATCTGGGCTTTCCATTTCCTTTAATGCCAGTAAGTAATATTTTTCTAAGAATTTGCTATGTAGTAAACAAAGATTAAACCAGGATGAAGGTAATTTGACTTCTCATCCTTCCTATTATCATCCAGGTGACCAGAAAATCCATTTTACCTTTATGAGCTTTATATATGAGTGAGGAAAGTTTGTATCATATTACCTTGCACCTAGAAAATAGTCTGCATTTTACAAAGCACTTTCATAGCCATAGTTATTATATTCAAGGTCCCTTCTAGCTCTAAAATGCTAGGATTTTGAACTAATTAAAAACCTCCTTCCCCCCCCAAACCAAAAACACTTGATCCTTATCTCAGTATGTATTATTCACTACAGTCTGAAAATCTCAACACTTTAAAAGGTTTGTTTTTGGGGTATGCCAACTGAATACTATTTTGTAAAAGGACAGAATGATATAGAAAATGGCTATATACAAAGCCATACATTATCAGCAAATAATGTTCTTTGTTTTACAGTAGAATTGTCATCTTTATAGGTTTCTGTTTATTTGGCCTTTTAAAAAATTACATTTTAGTTTCTATAACTTGGAAGTACATGTGTAAATATGAAAAAATAAACCAAGGTAAATTACTTCATTGGTTTGCCTTCCAACATCAATACCTACAACGCAGTGATAGTATCACAAATTATTTTCTTACTGAACAACCCCAGCCCCCTCTACATACTCTTCCTCGTTTACCCTCTCATAGCATTTAAACTCCCCTGTTATTACTCCTAACTCTTACTTACACACTTTCTCCCATCCAACCCATTCTCTTAGTCTCCATTCTTTCTTTGCTCAACCACATTTCTGTTCATTTTCTGTCCCCTTCTGTTCATCATTTTTTCTTATTGTTTACTGTCAACAGTCTTTCATTTTACTGTAGTTTGTTCATCTTACATATCTGTTATCCCGTTAGACTGATTTTAAGAGAACTCTAAGGGGATGGGAAGGGATAAATTGGGAGTTCTAGATTTGCAGATACTAACTAATGTACATAAAATAGATAAACAACAAGTTTATACTGTATAGCACAGGGAACTATATTCAATATCTTATAGTAACTTATGGTGAAAAAGAATATGAAAACGAATATATGTATGTTCCTGTATGACTGAAGTATTGTGCTGTACACCAGAAATTGACACAACATTGTAAACTGACTATACTTCAATGAAAATATATTTAAAAAGAGTAGAACTCTGTATTACTTATCTTTGTATGTCTTATGCCTAGCAGGATTTACAGAACTGTCTTTTTCCCCTTCAAAAGACCACTACTCAGTTTTGGGATTTTTAAAGATCATTAATCAGTAGTTTTCAGCCCTGGCTGTACATTAGAGTCACCTGAGGAGTTTTAAAGACACACAATGTCTTGGTCTCCTCCTCAGAGTAATTAATTCAGAGTCTCTGAGGGTGAGGTGCTCATGGGTCTTTAAAGCTCCCCAAGTGATCCTAATGTACAACCAGGATTGAGATCTACTTACACACGTAGGCTCGACAGACCATGGCCTGCAAATGGCTGCCTGTTTTTCGCAAATAAAGTTTTATTGTAATGCAGTCATGCCTATTTGTTTACATTTTATCTCTGACTGCTTTCACTCTGTAAAGCTGAGTGGCTGTGACGGAGACTCTATTACCTACACATCCTATAATATTTACTATCTGGCTTTTAATAAAAATAGCTTTCTGACCCCTGATAAAGGGGGGAAAAATTCTATTACTTATCGAAAAGGTATGAAATAAAATGGAGACTGATGTTAACATGGATACGTAAAATTGCTCTATAGACTAAAAGGTACATTTTGAATATTTTCTCATCAAGGCTTCCATTTTTAAAATGATTTCTGCATTTGCAATTATTCACTTGAAAGTGTAAATAGCCTCTCATATCTTAAAAAGTTTCCATTATGACAATCTGGCCCTGTAATTCTATGTAGCAGAGGTAGCATAGAGCTCAATTCAGTTTCACCATTATGTTTTAATGGCTGTTTATCTACTGACCACATGCTGTCGATTGTCCTACTTTCCATATGTTTTTAAGGTTTAGAAGCAGCTATTAGTACAGACACATTTCTAGATTTGTCCACAGCCATGTAAAAACTGTGATTTATATTAACTCTCGCTCTACCAGAAAACAGTGTATTTAGTGAAAAGAACAATAGGTTAGGTATCAGGAAAACTAGGCTTTGATTTTCACTATGCAGGTGACTTTTTTTTCCCTTTCCCACCTCCGCTAGCCCCTGGTAACCATAGGTTTGTTCTCTATGTCTGTGAGCCTGTTTCTGTTTTATAGATAAGTTCATTTGTGTCCTTTTATTTAGACTCCACATATAAGCGATATCATATGGTATTTTTCTTTCTTTTCCTCTGCCAGTGATTTATTATGTGACATCAACAAAGTCATTTATCTTATGTGTTATTGACAAAGAATGTCTCAATTTTTACTAAAGCAATTTTGTCACCTGGATATACTTGGTTGTGGGAAAGAATTTATAAATTGGTAGACATAATAATACATGTCTTAAATCAGCTTCATCTTGTTAACTTTTACTATATTTTCTTAATTAAGTTCCAGCACCAATATCAGTTTAATTTCTCACCTTTCTATAATAAAGACTAATGAGATAATGGACTAATCATACCAAACTATGTTTTAAGTAACTACTTGTTCATCCAGCAAGATATAATTGACATTTACCAAATGCTTAAGATTTTAATAAAAAATCATATGAGATTTTCCTAAATAAGCATATACTTAAGGAAACAATGAACAGAGGCTACAGTATCTGAACATTCTTTATGTAATTAAGCTTAATGGATCACCTAGGGACTTTAGAATACCTGGAAATACAGGTCCAGTACAAAACTATGACAAACCAAAACAATACTTAAAATTGTTGAGTGATGTGCCCTACAATTTTGAAAAGTGGAAATGCAAAAAATAATCATGTCCACATCTGAAAGCAATCACTTAATATGTTAATTCTAATGCTCCGAAAATATTTAGGGTGATGCCAAGATGTCAATACTAATTAGGCGCTAATTAGGACAAGCCCTTTCAAGATTACAGCAATTGGCAACATTTGAATATTGACTATAGGTTAGATAACAATATTGTATCAATTTTAAATTTCCTGATTTTGATAACTGTACTGTGATCATGTAATAGAAAGTTCTGGTTCTTAGGAAATATAGAGTGAAATATTCTTGAAGTGTTTAGAGGTAAAGGAGTATTGACTATGGCTGCCACTTACAACAGTAAATATCTCAGATGATTTTTCTTAATAAATGCAATAATAAGCAAATATATTTATTAAGCGATTGCTTAAAAAATTTTATGGATAAAGGAATTTAAAGGTTTGTCAGGTTCTGACAGCTGCAGTAATTTTTAAGGGATTTTGACTGACATAGTACTTTGCAAATTTATACAAACAAAATAGCCAACAAATATCCAACAAATTCATTGAATACTTAACCCATTGTAGAAATTAGTCTGATCTGTGGATCCACAGGGAGAGGCTGAATCCTGAATGGATAACTCTTTTTAACAGAATAATCTTGAAGCAGAAGAACTAAACCAACACTCAAACTTTTATACCATTCAGGACACAGGGCATTCCACATAATCACTGACACCGTGCCTGAACTGTCAGCAACTTCCAAAAAGGTCTAGAAAAAAAGAGTAAAAGCACATGCATATTTGTTAGTTTTACCTACAGGGTGCTCAAATTTTAAGAAAGAGGAAGCAAAACTATAGGGGAATCACTGAATAATTCATGATACAGTATGATATAATCCATAACTATGAAAAGTTATGAAGAATTTTTAGTGCTATGAGGAAATACTGAAGAAAATATTATATTATACAAAATTTTATATACAATATAATTTGCATCTTTAAGACAATTTACTATGATATGTGACAAAGTTGGTCATATACAATATATGATATGCATATGCACAGACATGGCATATATGATATACATATGATATAATAGATATGTGCATATATGTGATATATATGTGTGTAGATATATGATATACACATACAAAAAAGGGAATAAAACACATTTTAATATTAACAGTGGTTCTCTCTGAGTGGTAAGATTTGGGTTGATATTATTTATCAGCTTTATATATATTTCCACATTTTCCAAATTCCCTAAAAGTATGTGTAACTTTTATCATAAAAGCTTAATAAAACACCTAAAATAAGTCTTGATAACATGTAGAAATACAGTAAAATGTTAAGTTAAAAAATGGGACAAAAATCAGCATTATATGGCATACAGAGTCAAGATAAAAGTATCAGATTTGACAATAAGAAGGAGAGAGGGAATAGGGAAGTCCTGAGGTCAAAGATTTTTTTCTTTTTTTTAAATGCAAGACTAGACTATGTTCATATGCTGGTGTAGAAAGCACAGTAAAGAAGAAAAAGTTGAAGATACAGAAAAAGGTGTGATGGAGACCAGCTGGATCAAGGGAACTAAAGGGCACTAATACAGAAAGAATTTCTTTTTGTATAAGAAACTACATAGAAAAATACCTTGAAATATATATTTGTGTTTATTTTTTAAATTATTAAATTGAACTTACAAAATGTTATTTAAACATAAACTATTCTAACTAGGAGTCAGGTATATAAGTTATAATTTATGACTGCTGAATTAACATATAATATCTTATTACTTATACCTGGTAAGGCTCAATCATCTTTTTATCGGGTTTTCCATAGTATCGCAGTTTTGATTTATGCAAGATTCTCACAAGCAGTGCAGGAAAAGTCCTTCTGTTAGACCAGATCATTTCAAGATGAGAAAGGGAAATTATTCTGGTATCTAGAATACAAAAAAGAAAAAAATCCTACTTAATATGTCGTGGTAATTTCAAAAGTCTATTTTATTGGTTAAAAATGCCAGCCAGTTCATACCCAAAGCAACTCCTTCTCGCCAGCTAAGCCAGTCTATATGCTTCTCACATATAAAACTTAGTAATAGATGTTATCTCTAATAATAATAGCATATATATATATATATATATATATATATATATATATATATGACTTACTTTGTGCCTGGAACATAGGTAAATACCTATATTAACTAACACACTGTTCTATCTAGAATGTCCCCTACCTTGTCAAACTGAGTAATTACTTCCTAGAAGACTCGGATGGAAACTCAGCTTCCTTAAGAAAAAACTCAATGCCATGGAATATTTTCCTATATTAAGCATTTATATATTTAATTTATAGAATTGTTCATGATATATTTCTGTATTGCCCTCACCTTAATTCCTATGAGTAAGTTCAATTTTTCTCAAACATTCCAGACATGGTCCTGTATCAGGGCCTTTGCACTTGCTGTTCCCTCAGTCTGGAATGTCTTCCTCTTCGATACCCCAGTGACTTTTCTCCTTCAAGTTTTGCTCAAAGGTCACTTTCTCATTGATGTCAGTCCTAACCATGCTATTGAAAACAGATTCCCCTTACTTATCCTCCATCTCATTTTACTTTTGTACAATAGCACTTATTACCTTTTCATATACCATATAATTTATCTTGAAATGTAATCTCCAAGCCTGCTGGCAAGTTCAAAAACTGCTTAAAAAGCTATTCACCATCTTTAAAAGATTAACTTGTATTTCTAATTTTATTCTTCCTTGGGTTAAGAAGGGTTCCATCTGCAATTCTCTCCACAATTCTACTCTCTCATAGCCCACAGTCCCAACTTTTAAAACTTGAATTTGTATGTGTTCCAATATTTACTTCACTGAGGCATCCTCCACTTCCATTTTTATTTATATAATGTATCACTTACTCAACTTTAGCATGGAAACTATACTTGTTAATTTCTTTTTAATAAGAGTTTAAATCATATTTTATAATTATACCTGTACCATTAACCCCCCTACTATTTTCAATATTAGGATATCTCATGTAAAGTTCCCTCCAGATTATCCCAATACATTATTAGCCCAGGATCACAAGTCTTAATATTTGACCTGACATAATTAAGTAATTTCCTTTTATATGGTCAAACAAATTGTAGATCACTTCTGAATTACCTAGAATGTATGTGGAACACTCTTGATTAATGAAGGTACGTACATCTCCTTTACTGGCCAGAATAAATTCAAGAGCTACATGGTTTTATAAAACTAGAGTTCTAAGAGCCACTGTTTCCACTATAACTGAGTCCAGAGAGTCAGCCGTGATCAGACATCTGACCAGGTAACATTTTCCCAGATTGGGTTTTTAACTCACAAACTTGATAGAATACACATACCTCTCAAATGCAAAAAAGAAATTACAGGTTACACATAGACAATGAGGAATCTGTGTAAATTCACAGAAATAAGTGTGTTCATTTTCAAAAGAAAGAATGAAACTAAATCAACTAGATACTCAGTAAAAAACTGAGCAAATAATGGAATAGTGACTCTCAAACTTCCTGGTCTCAGGACCCCTTTACATTTCTTATAAATTATTGAAGACCTAAAAAGCTTTTGTTTATGTGGGTAATATCTATCAATATTTACCATATTATAAAGTAAAACTAAGAAATAAAAATATTCATTAATTCCTTTAAAACAACACTAATAAACTTGTTATATATAATAAAAATGTATAGTTTTGGAAAGATGACTGTATTTTCCAAAACCAAAAATTTAGTGAGAAGAGAGGCATTGTTTTACATTTTTGCAAATCTCTTTATTGCCTAGCTTAATAGAAGACAGCTGGATAAATCATATTTTCCTTGGTATTCAATCTGTTTCAATGTCACATGTCATGCAGCCTCTGGAAAACTTCACTGTATATTTTTGAGAGAATAAGAGTGAAAAAGGTAAATAAAGCCTTAGTATCATTATTATGAAAAATAGTTTTCATGTTGTGAATCCCCTGAAAAGATCTTGGAGAAACACACCTAGGGGTCCCAGGACCATACACTGAAAAAGAATAAATCTAAGGAATACAGAAAGGAATAATGATAAAAACTGAAAATAATGAATTAGAAAACAGTATAACTGGTAAATCCAATTCCCTGGAAAAGTTAATAAAGTAAATCTTTGATAAGTGCAATCATGAAGAAAGAAAACAAAAATATAATGTTTGGAATGTGATCAACTATAAACAGAGAAAAACATTTGAAACATTATTATATATGACTACATATCACTAAATGTGAAAATATCAGTGAAATAGATAAATCTTCTAGAAACATATGAATTTCCAGCTTTGCCATAAAAAAAAAACAGAAGAAAACTGGAATAGGTCAATAGCCATGCAAGAAAATGAAAAATTCACAAATGAAGACTTCTCAAAATTGCACCAGGTTCACATGGTTTTATAAGAAAATTTTGACAATTTTCAAAGAATAGCTCTTTCTCTTAACTATTAAGTTGTTCTAGAGCTCAGTAAAAATATAGAAATTGTACGTATACATTTTATAAACTTAGATAAATCTTTAAAAATTATGACAGAAATAGTACAAAAGAAAAAACTATAAATCCAAAACATTTATGATAGCAAAAATCCTAAACCAAATACTTTCAAATTCAATATAGCAGTTTGCCAAATTGCATCATGACCAAGTAGATTCCTAAACATCTTGTCTTGTTCAGGAGGAGGATATTATAAATTCTTTAAAACCCTGGAGATTGACATAAAAATGTAAGTTTAAATTTTGTTAAAGCATTAAGGGGGGGGGAGTTATAGCTCAGTGGTAGAGTGCATGCCTAGCATGTACGAGGTCCTGAGTTCAATCCCCAGTACCTCCATTAAATAAATAAATAAATAAATAAATAAATAAATAAATAAATAAACCTGATTAGCTCTCCCCAACAGAAAAAAAAAAGCTTAGAGAAAAAAAGGAATATTAAAATACAATAACATAACTTCTAAAGCACTAGAAAAAAGTTTAATCCTTCAGAAGTAAAAAAAAGTAAAAAAAAAAGCATGGCATATGGCAAACATAAAATAGGATTGCAAGAACAGGTACAAACATCATTAATTATATTAAATTTAATTTAATTATATTAATCTCTCAAAAGACAATGAATTGGTTTGGGTCAAAAAGCAAAATCTTAGCTATAGAAACAAATCTAAAACAAAATGGAAATAAAGTGATGAACAAAGATACACGCACCAGGCCAGTGATTCTCAAAGTGTGGCCTTCAAATCAGTAGCATCAATTACCACCAGTGAAACATATCAGAAATGCACATTCTAGGGCCCTACTACGTATGTACTGAATCAGAAAATGGTGATGGGGACCAGCAATCTGCATTTTGAAACACTTTTGAGGTGATATGGATGCCCACTCACCTTTGAGAATCATTGCCCTAAATCATAAGTAAAAGACAGTGGAAGTGGTAAATAGTACTATCAAAATACAATTTGAGGCAAAAAGGGACAAATAGATAAATTCCATATTGATAGAGTAAAATCTATCAGCAAGATATTAAGAAGTTATGAAACTTTACACATTATAGAAGCATCTAAATCAAAAACTTTTAGAAATATAAGGAGAAATGAACAAAACCACCATAAAGAGAAGCCAATATTCCCGGCAGAGAAATAGGCAAAAAAATAGATTTAAAATTTTTAATTAAAATTTAAAAACTTAGTATAATAAGGAACTTCATATCTAATTAGTAAGCTTTTTCTAAACTCTTGGGGGTAAAGAGGAACTCAAATTCAAAATCAGAAAATATGAGTAACAATGAAATCTCTGCACTTCAAAACCTAGAGCAGTACCCATGGGATATTTCAGAGTTTTTAAAGCTTTTGGAAGAAATTAACAAGGAAACGCATGAACCAAACAGTCCACTCAAGAAGGCAGTACCAAAAATATATATATATATATGAACAAAGGAAGTAAAAGGAGGTAAAGATGACAGCAGAAATAAAGTAAAAACTTCTCCCCCATACAGACTTCCTAAAAATAAAGCTAAAAGTTGTTTCTTTGAATACCAAAACAGTAGACAAACCTCTAGCAAGGCTGATCATGAAAAAGGATGATGACACAAACATTAGAAGTGTAAAAGACAGAGATTCAAAAATATAGACTATTATGCACAACTTTGAGATCTCGGTGAAATGAGATTTCCTAGTGAAATATCAAATCTCATAAATGGACTCAAGAAGAACTTTCACCACTTTTTCAAGAAACTGAAAAGGAATCATACTCCCAACTCCCAGTCCTGGCCCAAGGCCTCGGGTTCAAATAGTTTTAGGGGGTAAATTCTTCCAAACCTTCAGTGAACACATGATTTCTGTAAGTACAGAAAAACATGTAAGCAAGCTTCCTAACTCATCTTACTAGGCTAATATTAATTAACCTGATATCAAAATTGAACTGAAATAGTACCCTCCTAAAAAACAACAAAACTTACAGACCAAATTCACTCGAATATACAGATGTAAAAATAACAAGCATGACCCAGTAGAAACAAAAGTGGTTCAACATTAGGAAATGCATCAATATAATTTATTTCATTCATTACTTTATTCAATAAACACACTGAATGCTTTCTATGTGCCAGGCACTGTTCTGAGTATAGGGGAAATGGCCCATAGCAATGAAAAAAAAAGTGCTTGCCCTCGTGGATGTGGATCTTATAAACTAATGAGACGAGAAAAAAACAATTTCAGGGTGTTACAAATTCTAAGAAAGGAATTTGCACGGTGAGGTAATAAGAAATGGGGAGGGAATACATATTTAAATATTCATTTTCTAATATTTTTATATATTTGAGCTGAAATCTGAGGATGAGAAGGAACTTTCCATAAAGAAGAAAAAGCAGGAGCAAAGGACCTGGGGCAGGACAGAGCTTGGAGGTTTAACAACTAAACAAGCGGCTGGTATCACTGAAAAGAAAAGGCAGAGGAGAGCGGTTAGAGGAGAGCTGTTAGGGATGCGCAGAAGCGCATCCTGCCGGACAGGGGTCCGCAAACTATGGCCCTTGCGCCAAATGCGGCCTGCTGCCTGTTTTTGTAAATAAAGTTCTATTTTGAACACAACCAAACCCATTCATTTACGTTTTCTGTGGCTGCTTTCCATATACAAAGGAAAAGTTGAATAGCTGAGGCAGAAGCCCTAGGCTTGGCAAACAAAAAGATTTACTAGCTCTCTGGCTCTTTACGGAAAGAGTTTGCCAACCGCTCCAGGGCCACGTGGACGCCCCTAGGAGGTCTGGATTTTCCTCCACGTGCAATGGGGGAGCCACTAGAGGGATTTAAGCACGAGAGTGGCACGATCTAACTTCCATTTTAAAAAGCTGTCTCTGAGATACTATTGGAGTAGTGTATTGAACCAGGAGAGGGAAACTTTTAGGGTGCTTGGAATGCTCTATAACTTGATCTGAAAGGACGGTTACACAGATATATCTATATCTATATCTCTCTGTATTTTGAAGACTTTTCTATTGTACTGTGTGTACATTATACCTGATAGAAAAGTATTAAAAGCACAAAATAGCACCACAAAGTGAAGCGAAAAGGGACCGAGTGGGAGAAAATAATTTGCAGTATACAACAGACAAAAACTTAATACCCATCAGCAAAGAAAGCCAACACTTAGAGTAGTAATATATTACCACAAATTAATTAGAAAAAGCCTAAAGATATAATTTAAAAATAATAGCATGAAACGGGCACTCTCGTATATATGCTGGTGTGAATGTAAATTAGTACAAACTTTTCAAGAGCTGCTTTGTCAAGATCCATTTAATTTAAAAATTCAAATAACTCTTTAACCCAGCAATTTCACTTCAGTCCATCCATTCAACAGAAATATTTGAACACAGTGAACAAATATGGGTATATCCTAATGATGTTCAGCACTGTATCTAAAAGAGAAAAAAACAGAAACTGCCTAAAATTATAAATTACCCATTCACATGGGCATGATTATATAAATCATGGCACAACTATACCATGGAGTGTATAAATATATGTACTTAAAAATGCTTCAGAGAAGTGCAAGTGGCAAACAATGCAATTTAACAAAATTCATTTTTTCTCCAAAATTACACAACAAAATGCTGACAGTTTGGAGTTTTGAGAGGAAAGCTGAAGTCATATGAGGAGTAAGAAGGGTGTTTTTACTCCACCTCAACATTTTATTATTAAAAATTTCAAACGTACAGCCAATCTGAAAGAATATCATTATATCGTCTTCTAGACTTTGTCATCAGCACTTTACTATATTTGGGACTTACACTTTTAATACAATATACTTTAAAATATAGTTTGAATTTTTTAGCACATGGATACTGTCTTTTGTAATAAAAATATGGTTTCCATAATGAATAGATATTACTTTCATAATCAGAAAAATGAAATATACTTTTACAAATTATTATTCCTCTCAATTCTTCTAGAGCACCAATTTTTCACTTGTATATTCAGTTCTAAAAAAATGATCAGCACTTAGAGTAGTAATGCACCACTGCCTTATTCCATGCTTGAGATAAAAAAATCATTACATTTTTTTCGTCCCTGAAATGAGTATCTTGCTTTTAAAGCTTAAGTTATTTAAATCATCCTTGGCGACACATTTCTACATCTTTCCCTTATAATTGGAATATTGCTTTAATTGCATGTTTTCGTCCCAGTTATCTTTTCACTTTCAAGTCTGTTGCTGTTACACGTCATAGTAAGATGACCTACGATCTAGCACTATGACTGCAACTTAAAAAAAAAAAACCTGAAAAGCAGTAAATGTAGAAAATCATCATCTTTCTCGCTCAAGGACTTTTATTTTCTTTTTTGCACTTTATTTATTTCCCATTCCACACACGTACACACCTATGGTACTATCATTCCCTTTACTTTCACCTCTTATAGATAAAATATATTTTAGAGCAGTTGCTGACAAACGAGTTAGCATTGTCGGGTTAACTTCCTACTTCTGACACAGAAGAATCGAACTTCTCATATCAGTATTGTCCGTGGTACGTAATAAGAAACACAAATTGAGAATTCGAAGCCTTCCCACAAAATTACACATTCGAAAAACGATATTTACATAACTTCTACACTCAAATATATACAAAACGGAGTTTCATTAAATGTAAATTACTAAGGAATAAATCACAGAACATCCTTTTTTGAATGAAGGTTAAAACAGGCAAAACCACAAATAGTTACAACTTTTATGCCGAATTCAAATCTATACCCTCTCCAACCAACACAGAAAATACTACTTCCATGACTGGAATAGGAATAAAACTAAGATTAATTCCACTATAGTCAAGCCTATAACGAACACACGAGGAATACTGACCGCAACATCACTACATTCGCCAGATTAAGTTTAAGATGTATTCAGACACTTCCTGAATGGCCGCTTTTACAATCAAACCAAGACACGAGCTGTGTAAATTTCTTTAAGCGAGAATCTCTCCGTCATTCATCAAAACTTGTCTACTACCACTCCCGGCTTATAATTAACACTACCAAAGCCCCTTCGTTTCCTTTTCCATTAAAATAAGGTCCTGAAAACTATTTTTTAACCCCTCCGTCGTCCCCTCCAATTACTTACTGTCGAAGTTGTGCTCCTCAGGGTACTTGTTGTTTAGCCAGATATCTCCGTACGGATCTTCGTTATTCCAGAGGGCCAGGTAATGACTCTTCCCGCCCATTAAAGGCCTCTCCGGTATCTCCCGGTGCGCACTATTTCTGAAGGGAGTTTCTAAAGAAATAGCGTCTAGGGACTCTCCACAGTGGACGTCATCTATGCACAGGATCCCCTGGCCTAATCTTCTCTCGTTGTAAATACACGAGACTCTGGAAATTCTCATTTCTATGCCAACTTTGAGAATATTTTTATATACGAGAAAATTCAGTCTGGGGTCTAGGTAGCACTTCTCCTGGTACACCCCGTCCGAAATTGTCACATCATAGCAGTAAAGCGGAGGTTTAGGTTCCACGTCGCGTGGCTCGTCCTCTAACAGGTACCTCTGGACGGCCAAAACAGCGACAGGCACCACCTCCGAGGGGGTGACCCACTGACGAGGTGAGTCCGTTATTTGCTCAAGAGTCTTTTGAATCCAGGACCTGTGCCCTGAGGAACCGACCTTACGGATCACACCTCCCGGGACCCCAGCCCGATTTCTCTCAGGGTTCGGCCAATCGAGCCCAGCATGTGACGGGCCGGCCTGCGGCTGACCTAACTCACCCGCCATTGTGGGATACCTGCGTACTCTCTTCGCTCCCAAAAGCTAGTTTGCCCTGTCTGAGGTGAAGAGTAAGAAACCGCGCGCTTGGGCGCCGATCGCTACTCTGCCCGAGCCGACTGGTAAGGCTCCGCCCAGTCAGGACGCTACAAAGCCGTTACGCGAGGGCGCGACAGCTCTGTGGCCACGCCCCCTCGCTTGGCGCGCTTTCCTCCTCAGGCACTGTTACTAGGCAGTATACGAGTGGTTACATAGTGGGTCCTCTAACTTGGTGCTCGCGGGATTGCCAGGGAAAAAGAAGCCGGAAAAGCGTTGGTCGCCATGGTTCCCAAAGCGAAGCGGCAAGAAGGAGGGGGAGGAGCCCTCGTGGCTCTTCTAGAGAGGAGGGTGCAGAGAGGGAGCGGAAAAGGCAAAGTGACTGGAAGCGAGGTGCAAGTAGTCATAGCTCAGGAGTTCGGGCGTTTTGGCTTTGGACCAGCAACTGAAAGTAAATCAGAATTGTTTAATATACATGAATGTGACAATATGGATCTCCTGTAGTATGAACAAAACTGGATAATACATGCACAGCCTTCAGGACAGTCCCTAGTACAAAAAGTCCTCCGTAAACATTAGTTGCTATTGCTATTAGCGTTCGCATAATTGTAAAGGCTCCATGAGTGCAGGGTGAGTGAATTGGCGATTAAGTGCAAATGAAAACAGAAAATTATAGAACTGGCTTGGTAAAGAGCTGACTTTAGATTAGACTCCTTAAAATGTACTTATGTTTTATACAATACCTGGTTTAACATATAGCTAGGATATGATATAGAATTTCAGAAACTGCATTTCTAACCTGCGAACAATGTATACGGAATAGATGTAATGTGAAAAAACACTGATAAAAATAGAATTAAAAATAAAATATTTCTATGTACTCAGATGTGCTAATATACACAGAATGTAGTAATTGTCCTAAGAATACTTTTCAAAGATAGTTATAGGCTTGCTTTGATTATACTAATCTCCCCTGGCTGTCTATTTCATTATTCTTTACTCACTATTTATGACGTCCCTACTTTGAGGCAGGCACTGCTCTAGGCCATTGGGGATAACAGTAGTCAGGCTCCTTTATTCAGTGTGTACTGCTTGGGCTGAAGAATCCTGCCATTATTAATATTAGCTAATTCAGTAATTCTACATATATTTCTTGAGGGTCTGCTCTAGGCCAGGTACAATCTTGCTTTGGAGACCAAAAATATGAGAAGGGGAAAGGGAGGGGAGGGGCAGGAGTCATTACTTTATATTGATTATGATTAGGGTAGTGTTCTCTATTAAGAGATTGAACAGAGCGGAGACCCGCAGGAAGTGAGGGAGTGAGTGTGTGGATTTCTTGGAAAATGACACTTAAATCAGAGGGAACAGCAAGAATAGATTCGTGAGACAGAAGCATGCTTGATATTTTAAAGGAAATACAAAAAGCCAGTTGGCTGGAGTGGAGGGAAGAGTGGTGGGAGATAAATCAGAGAGGTAGCAGGACCCTATAGGCTCTGTTTCGAGCGGAAGTGTGACCTAACACTTCAGCTTGAGCCCCATTTCCTTCATGAAACCTCGCGTAATCAGTTTATTTTACAATGATCTTTCTCTTAACTATATCACCTTGCATCACTCATTTAACATTTATCATCTAATCCTTTGTTATTAAAACCAAAAATAATTTTTTTAATCTTTTGCCGAGTCCGGCGGTCCAGAATCCAGGTCTACCATCTCGATAATCTCTTCCTTATCACCGTGGAAGTTTAGGGTCTCTGTTGTGGGGAGATGGCGGAGTTGCGGGGGTGGGGGGGGGCGGGGTGGGGGTTTGTCAGCGGTTCAGTCAGCTCCGTCCGCCCGTCGATGAGGAACTCGAGCAAAACAAAACTTCTAATGTAAGTAGTCCGTCTCTCTAACTCAGGGTTTGTCAACATGGGCACTCTTGACTTTTGTGTCAGAAAATTAATTGTTGTGGGAATGTCTTGTGCACTGGAGGGTATTTAGAAGCATTCCTCGCCTCTCCCCACTCGATGCCTGTAGCACAACCCTTTCCCTCCTAATTGTACCAAGCAAAAATATCTCCAGACATCGATAGATGTCCCCTGGGGGCAAAATCACCCATTGTTAGGAGCCACTAATTTAGATAGGCTATAAGCCTTTTGAGAGTAGGAATTGATTTATTCTTTATTGTTTCCTTATAGTTTTTTCACTATTGCTATACAAAAAAGGTACGCAAATATTTTGAATAAGTGAAACATGTGGTTCCCACTGCCTCTCCACCAAAGGGAATATATATATAAATATGCTTCTCTGTAAATGAATATAATAAACAACAATCCAAATTTACACCACAAACTAAGTAAGCTCCCTGAGTGTGGGTACTTTGTTAAGTTCGCTGCTGCTTCTTCAGTACAAAAATCAATATTCCGGTGCTTAATAGTAATTGTTGAATGAATAAATGAAATTATGGATTTTTATTGGATTTCCTGCAAGAGTCATTAAATAACTATGTCTATTGTTTATGCAAGAAGAACTGGTTTTAAATCTTTCAAATCTGTTCCATCAGCACCCCCTAAACTATAAACTCAGTGGACTTTATACATAATAGTATTGCATCATCATATTCTGGGTCCTTCCATCTAATTCATAAAAGATGAATATTGGCAATGGTTTTCAGTAGTTGAATAATTACTGGAATTGGGAAGAAACAGCACCCATGTTTGTTTTTACAATACTACACGCAATAATGGGTGAGTCATAGGGAAGCATTAAAATGGCCACACGTCTGAATCCCCCTGCCTGATGACTGCTCTGAATCCTTGTCATGGAAAGAGCTACAAAATATGAATTCTTGTGACAGCATAAGAAATTTTGAAATTTTCTAGAAAAAAAAATGAGTTCATTTAGCTTGAAAATTATCAGCAATTTCTTTCAGTAGTTCTGACTATAATAGTAGGTGAGTGAAAATTTATGAAATAAACAGCTCTTTCAAAAAAATACTACACACAATAAAGTTGTACAGTGACTATAAAAATACATTTGAAGTCTTCTGTGTTGTTCTACTGACAATCTGCTGATGGTGCACCTCCCCAAGAATTAAGGTGTCTACCTGAGTAGTTATCACACCAGTGTACGAGTATTCTCTGAAGGCATTGTAAGCACCTGCTTTAGGATTAATTACACTATAATATAATAAGTAAGAGAAATGACGTTTAAAGCCAATAATAGATAACATTTAGGTTATTGATATTTTTTGCCTTTTCTCAGATCTGGACAACTTGTTATAGTGCCTTCTAGAGCTTAAGATAGTAAAGGAGGCAATATACTACTTACTTTATAAAATGGTAATCTAAGATACTCAAAACACTTTAAATACAACTGAGGCCCAGAAAAAGGAACTCATATGACCAAGATCACACAGTGATAAATGACACAGCGTCAGAACTAGCCAAGACTCCTGCTTATCAAGCCAGCGTCCTTTCTGCAACATGAAGTTGCACAGATCCTGGATTATCCCCTGCCAATATATCAACTTTTTATTTGAATAATCTTGTTTTAGTTATTTTGGTTATTTTGATTTGAATAACCTTGTTTGATCTTCTCATTCATTCAACTAGTCTTTCATTTATTTGCCTTGGATAGGCAAATCAGCATCATTCTCTGGCTGTGTACATTGGGCATTGGAGGTACACTTGTAGGTTCATCAAATTCATAAGATTATGACTGTATGGGTAGAGATGTGGGGGAGGAGGAAAAAGAAGTGCTGTGACTAGTTGGTGCTAAAAGGATGTGGAGAGTCCGCTGCTATCTCGAAGAGTAATTAGGTAAGCCCTCCAACTATCACCACGGTAACAAAAGAAGGCCTGAGGGTGGCTGCCTGGCAACCACAGCACTATACCCTCCAGCTCAAAGCTGCCCTTTTTCCAACATCTTTCCCACTTAAATCTGCTTTCGATGATTTTGTTAACTAAATTGCCTCTATATACAAGGATGGATCTGCATAGCTTATAATACCCCCTACTTCATTGGAGTCAAGGATGTTCCTTTGTTACCTTTCTGTCAGGTGTCAAATATGTTTTGATTCATTTTTTGAATGTACATAAACAGAAGTCTCTTAACAGAGGCTTACCATAATAGTGGTTCTAGAATCCTTTTGCCCCTCAGTATCTCAAACAAATGTTCATATTTTTCTGCATTCCTTTGCTTATCCTGAGCACACATTAGATGCACAATAAATGGTTGTTGCTGTCCCCTCTTCTTTTCTGTTCATTCAAATCCTGCTATTTTTCATAAATAGTGTGTTAGTTTTCTTCAGAGTCTCAATATTATATATTTGTAAGACACTTGGCTTCTAGAATATGGATTTGCTCATTTTCCATTTATTAGGTCTCTGTTACCCTTACTTTTAAAGAAAGAAGGACTGCCTGTAAACTCCCAGGATTCTACAGATTAATTTATTCCCGCTTATCTTCAGTGGTCATCCTAATATCATGTATGTAGCATGCTTCAAAGTTTACTTTCCTCCTCTCAAGAATTTCCATTTGTTGAAGTGTGTGGCTAAAATTTGATGACATTTTAGAAATCCGAACACTAGTGTGTATACTGGATTGCCTTACATGAAATAGAGCTGGGCCAGACAGTTGGTTCTCAATAGGCTATTTATCTAAAGATGTTTGTGTTAGTTGATTATTAAAATAACAGCTTTATTTAAATATAATTCACAAAACACACAATTTATCCATCTAAAGTGAAGAATTTGATTGCTTTTAGTATACTCAGAGTTGTACAATGGTTGCCACAGTTTAATTTTAGAACATTTTATCATGCCATAAAGGAACTCTATAAATATTAGCAGAAAACCCAGTTCCAGCTCCCTGCCCCAGCCACCAGCAACCAGTAATCTACTTTCCGTCACTATGGATTTACCTATTCTTGACATTTCATATAAATGGAAACATACATTGTGTCCAGCTACTTTCATTTAGCATAATGGTTTCAAGTTTCATCCATGTTATAGCATATTTTATTTATTTTTTGCTTGCTGAATAATATTTCTTTTTATGGATATACCACACTATGTTCCTCATCAGCT